TCACAAGTATTAATATATACAGTTTTTTATTAGGTTATTTTAATCATTAAGAAATTTAAGATTTGTTTATTTTTTAAAATAGATTTTTGTACCACCACTTCACTTTTTTTATTTTTTTTATTACAACACGTGTTCTAAAATTTATTTTCTTCGTTGCGCCTTCCTTCTCACTGTACTATTTTAAATCTCTTCTTTTACGAAGATATATGAGACTTCTGCTTTATAAAACTTCTCCTTTTCCAATTCCATCATCTTCAAATCTTCTTATTTTTTAAGTTTCTCTTCTCCAAATATTGTTCAAGTGTAATTAACTAGTTGCAAGTAGACCTATCATAAAAAAAAAAAATTAATATAAAATTATTGTCTACTATCTAACCAATATTTTTCATTATAGTTGACACTTCATATCTCTTTTTCTTATTTTTTTATAGATAAAAATATCACTTCTATTTTTTTACTCATTATATAATAAATTTTATTAAGAATGAATAAAATATTATCATTGATGTTTTATATTAATATTATTCTAATGCAGTGTATGAGAAAATATAAAAAACAAATAACATTTTCACGTGTATTCACAATCATAACACATATTTTCTATATATTTTTAAAAATAAACATATATTTTTTATATTGATGTTATATAAAACTCTTACATTGATGTTCTATTAAAGCTCTCACACTTTTTACAAACAATATTATATAAAAACTCACTAATGTTAGATAAATAGTTATTAAACACTTTTTTTCAATTTATTTTTAAAAACAATTTTTTTAAAATTGAACTATCAAATTATTTTTAAAAACTACAAAAATTAAACTAAACTTTTAAATTTAGTATCTTATCATAATCTTAAATTTAGTATCTGATGAGAACCATATTCCTAGTTATCATCCTTATTATGAAATTGTAGCTTTTCAAAAATAAATCATGAGATGATCTTAATTCATCGTGGTAAACCTTTATGAGTTTTGTTATCAAGTTCATCAAGTAATCCGAAAATGTTAATAGAGTCTAAAAAAACACTACATCTAATGGTTGAAGAATAATTATTCGTGCTGAATAACATTTACAAATTAAAAAATACATGTTAATGAAAATCATAATTGTTACACATCGCAACATGGGTTTTCTTATTAGAGTTGTATTATTTATATTTTATAATATTTTTTCTATCATCAATAATCTTATGTTTCATTTTCTTTATCTTTTTATCTTCTTCTATTACTAAAAAAATAATTTTATTTTTATCCTTGATTTGAATAAAAAAAATGGATAATCACATAATTTAATCCATGAGATATGGTACAAAATTGAACCCTTAAAAATATTCTTTTTCTATTAAAATAAAGCATGATAAATTGGTTTTAAAACTTACCCTACGCTCGTTTATAAGTGTCTGCGGAAGTATTATATATATATATATATAAAAGGAAAGGATATATATACTTTTTTATTAAATAATTTACATTGATTGTATTTGAAATTATTTTATTCTCCTATCATGTTTAAAAATATAAATTGCCATGTAATTTTAAAAGTATAAATATCACATTAAATGATGTACAAATACTTTTACAAATAGAGTTTATTAAAGTAAAGAATTATTTTTAACAATCTAAAACTAATATAATAAGTAAAGCAGGGAGAAGAATGGGTATAAAAGCTAATAATGGAGCACCAAAAAGTTGTATTCACTCCACAGCAATAATGGAGAAGAATTATTTTCCTTCCAAAAAAAAAAAAAAATTGCAAAGACAGCATCACTAGCCCAAACTCATTCTTGACCCAAAACCCAAACATTCGTTGGGTCTTTCCCACAGGTCTGGACTCACATTCTCGGCCCAGAGCCAATGGATAGTGGGAGGAAATGTTGGGGCTGTCTCTTATTGTATGTTGATCTAAAATAATAATATTGTATTTAACATAAATATTTTCCGAAAATTTAATTTAAAATTTTTTAAATTGATCTTACTAAAAGTTTTCTGTAAGTAAGAAAAATAATTCTGGAACATTTTTATAAAAGTTCTGAAAAAGATCAATCCAAATGTTTTTAAAAAACTGATTTCAAAAATATGTATTTTTCGAAAATATATTATGGATTTAATAATCTGGAATATATTTCAGAAAACAAAATTGAAAATACCACAAATATCATCTTTATGAAATTTTTATATGCATAATATATTAATAAATTTTAACTTTTAAAGTAAAAATAATATTTTAAATAAAAGTGTGTAGGAAATATAAAGGTACAATGCCAAAGAAAAAATTATAAAAATATTTGTAACATCTGACAGAAGGTGGTGGAAAAATTATTGGATGGAGAAAGAAGCAGCCAAATGTTAGTCATCTGGGCGCGTCCACAACACTGGTTAGCTCCTTGTAGAGACATTCCTAACAATCGAAAAATTATTATAATATAAAAATAAAGTAACAATAACAGTATCATTTAGTGTCATATTAAATAAAATATATATTGAAAGTTGAAAACATAAAATAAAATTATTATTCTTATAATAATATATATATATTTTAGTAAAATTGTCTTCATAAATAAAATATATCATTTTGTTATAAAATAATTGTTACTATTTAATTTTTAATTAATTAAAATAAATAATATATGATCTTATGTATAATATTTTTATCTAAAATTATTATTCAACATGAAATATTATAAATCAGTTGAAATAACATTAATGTGAACAACATAGTTTTTCATTAATATTAAAATTGATTAAATTTGATCAACGACTACACCTATATTTAACTTTAAATCAATTCATGATTTTAGTACTTATCAGCTTACATAACAATTAAAAAAAATTATATATAAATACACGAGATTCGTCAAATATAAATAAATTTTAAAAAAATAATTATGCGTATATATATATATATACCAATTTTTATTAAATTATATTTCATTATTAATTAAAATACAATATTATAAATATTTTCAGTGGTATGATATTTCTAATGTTGACTATTTCAAAGTATAACTTTCCATCAACAGCTGATGCTAGGTCAACTGTACGTTACACAATAATTTTTAAAAAATAATAATATTAAATTTGATTGAATTTCATGAGTGACTATTTTAAATAAAACTTTTGATCAATGGCTGTTGTTGGGTCAAGTCTGGTTTACACAATAATTTAGAAAAAAAAAAAGTACTCATGATTCATGAAATATATTTCAATAAGTATATTTTAAAATAGAGTACAAATTAATGAATTAAATTATTATTTTTTGTCCTTAATTATTGATTAAAAACATGTTATATGAATTATAATAAATTGAAATTCATATTTATAAAATCTTTTCAAATAAAATAAAATGTTGCTTATCTTCATTTTCAATTTTAATGTGATTTTTAAAATTTAAAAATTATTACGTGGGTCTGTTTAAGTTTCAACATAAAATAAAGTGTTGGTTCTTCCATTAGCTTTTTACTCTAACTTGGTCAACGTGACAACACGTGGTAAACATTAAGAGACATGACCTCAATTAAAATTAACATAATTAGAGTAATAAACATATTGAATATTTTTCAGTCTAATAGAAGTGCTACAATAAACAAAACGAAATCCTTTAAACCTAAAATCCCCAATAAATCCTAAACACAAAGATAAGATGTTAACATTTTATTTTAGTCAAACTTTTATAAATATGTTATGAGATGCTTTTCAAATAAATTATCATTTTTCATTAAGAAAACCTTATTTTAAATATTGTTGTTCTAAAATATATATTTTGAATATATATTACCTTTTAGTTTTTATCCTTAAATATCAATTAAATGAAAATATTACTAATAATTTTAAATATTATTGATGTAAAAATTAATGTGAACATATTATAATTCTTCCTTAATATTAAATCTAATCAGATTCAATCAATATCTATTATTACAATATGTTAAACTTTTCATCAAACGCAGACGATAGACAAGCAAGTTGACTGGATATTTATTTTTATAAAATACACGTTATCATGAAATATATTTTATAAATAATTAGAAAATAAATTATATATAATAATTTATTTATTAAATTATATTGTTAATTATTATTTACATAAAATATTATGAATTAGGTCATTTTTATTCAAAATATATTTTTTAATTATTATTATTAAATAGGACTTACGAATTTATACAATAATTTATTCTTGAGTTAAACTCTCAATCAATGCAGACGTTGTCATGTTCGGTAAATTCTAGTTTACATAATAATATAAATAAAATACATATGATTTAAGAAAAAAATAAAAAATAAATTTTGAGAAATTATATATATATATATATATATATATATATATATATATAACGCATATTAATAAGTTTATGATTTATATATTTTGAATTATTAATTATAAAATAAAATATTACTTTATTTAGATCTAATTACATATTTGTAAGAAATCATTTACAAATATGTACTATAATATTTTTTTGTAATAAAGCATACAAATTTTAATTATAAAACCTATATTTTCAATTTTTATTGTTCATAAAATACATTTTAATTTTATTAAATTTGAATGTTTATATTCCTAATTTCTATCTTTATCTATTAATTATAACAAAATATTATTAGTTATTTTAATTTATATGAATGTAAGAAGTCTATTATTTTATTAGATTCATGAAATATATTTCAGCAACTAAATTACAAAATGAAGTATATTGTTATGCAAAACTAGTTCTCTAAAAACAATTAATGCAGTTACGTATTCATATTAATGATTTAATTAAACTGGATATAGGATTAAGTTAGAAATTGGAAAAAAAAAGTTTTGTTAATATGATTTATGATGTTAAATAATAATCTATATTTTTCACGTCATCACGTCGAATTCAACTACAGGTGTATGAATCATATAAAAACAACAACTGCCTTTTATTCCGAAAGCATCGACAAGGAATGAGACAGGAGAATAACGATCACGGGATATAAAAATGACGCAAATGTTGAACAAACTATGATAATCAATAATACTGGAAGGCGTAGATGTTGTACTCCACAACAGCGTTCCCTGTTTTGTTATCAAGACTATACGTCTTCAGATCCGCATAGCCACGTGAGAACTTGAAAACCCCAGTCCCGCCAACAATGGCCAATTCCCTTTCCTGGTTGAATATCAAATTCCGACCCAACAAGTTCAGAGTGCTGCCATTGAATTTCCCTTCCGTGAACACGAAGTTGAAGAGCATGACTACTGCAACCTCATTCTGGTCTGAAAACCCGTACAGGCCTTGTCCCTTTCCGACCACCTTCGACCCGGGATCCGCCGCAACGGTCAACGGGTCGTCGGCTATCGCCAGGAATCCGAAAAACGTGGAGGAAGTGTTGGTCGTTTGGGCCTCAGCAATTTGCACTGCGGTGGGCTTGGGCCCGCTTGTATTGTCATGCAAGAAGAAGTGAAGGTGGAGCAGCTTCTCCTTTTGCAGACCCAGAGAATTGGGAGATATGTATTCAAAGAAATCGGAGTTTGTGGCTGCTGTGAGTGAGGAGAAGAGAAGGGTGAGGGTGATGAACCAAATAGCCATATTGAAGGTGGTGATTGAATGGACACGTAATGATTGAGAAATCTAAAAGCAATAGAATTGATGTCCTCAAGAGTGAGATACTATAAGGGCATATATAGGGTACAGGCACGCTACAAAAAATGAAAAACTAAAATTAAAAACCAAGAACGTTTTATGTATTACTAATATTCTAACACTGGCGTCACAACAATTTTAGTGATAATTTATCTTATGGTGCTGGAAGCGTACGTGGAAGTTTTAAAAGGATTGACTTGGTGCTGATATGAAACGAAGGTGATGGAGAAACGCAATGGAAATAAGCAATCGACAATGGTTCTAAATTCCACCATAATCAAATTTAAAGTAGTTATCATACTAACGTCAAGTTCCTGAAAATATTATTAAGAAAAGCGTATTCAATTCAAACGATAAATGGTACAGCACACCACATCTATAGTCATTGTCCGCTATATGACTTTTATTTATTTATTTTATTGGCTGATTAGAGGGCCATTTTCACAGAGGAGGGAAATAATTTCTTCCATGCAAACATACGTGAAAGCTTAAAATTCTAAGTTTATTTCATACCCTCGAATCAATTCAGTGTGATCCATAAATTCTCAGAACGGTTATTCAATTTCGTTCACCAGAAGTAGAGTAATTTTTGAACATCCAATATTTCATTAGACATATAGTGAGAGGGGTGAAGAGACAAAAAATACTACAGGTAATATGATGAGAATAAAGAATTTGTGGATGTTGACAAGAAAATTTGTCCGAAAATTGTGTTTTTTTAATTATGTTATTGGTTTAAATTATTTATTGACTTTATTAATTATTAATCTTTATTGAAGAACCTCACATCTTTAATGAAAACTTCCTTCTTAATTAAATTTTTAATTTAAAGTTTGAATTGATAATTTTTATTT